ATCTAAATAAAAAATTAAACTATTTTTTCTATTGGCGATCAACCCCTCCGAGTGTATTTCTGGCATGAAATAAAGCCCATCAGCCATTCGGTGGCGGCTTGGTATGAACTATAGGTCTCTCCATTTGTTGGGAAAACTTCAAGACGCCCAACCACAAGCTGGAAGAGATATTCGAAATGAACCTTATGTATAACTTTTAGAAGAAAAATTAAGATATGGAAAGATACTGACAGATGATGCCAAAAACTCCTTTCACTAAAATACTAGCTCGGTCTTTTTTATGCTGATCTTTCACGTGTTCCCACAATAAACCAATGTACGAGGGTATTAACAAAATTTCCGTTAATTGGTGACTTTCAATTTGTATTTGTTAAATCTAAAAATACCAATTACATTATTAATCTTTCTTTCAAATTTTAGAACGATCGACTAAATTGGGGACGAGAAAACGCAAGACAGCTGGGGATAGGTCAGACGAAATTCCACCACCAACGTAAACAGAAACTGGCCATGTGAATATCTTCGGGTTTCGGCGTAATTTACAGCCAATAAAAATATTCAGTGAATGACTAATTGCATATGAAACGTTTGCAATGCCTTAGAAGACTATTTCTAAGTGGTTCCGTAGATTCCAAGACTGGCATTTTTCCGTAGAGGACGACCCTCGAGAAGGTCCCACGATTGACACAAGAAATGATTGCTAATGAATTGGACTTGAATGCAATGGCTGTATTAAGTTATTATCTGGAGTACACGAAGAAATTTGCTCATTTCTTCCTAAACAAATTCGAAAATGGTCTCTCCAGCAACTTTAGTTAAAGTCGTTGCGGGTGGCGAATCTTGGTTCTATTAGTACGATGTAGAAGTGTGAGATAATTTTGGTCCTCGTTTCGCAATGGTTGAGATAAGAGAAGCGTTTGCAAAGGTATCTCTTATATTTATTGGGTAGAAGAGAAAAGAGAAGTGGGTTTATAGCTTCTCCATTTCGATCGCCAACATTTCCGTCTTCCATTATATCTCTTTGTCAGCTGTTCTTTATTGAGTTTTAGGACAAGAATTGTTAGTTTATTTTTGGTTCCTTTTCTTTACTATATGCATGCCATGTTCGAGGATCAGTGTTTATGAACTTAGTATGTTTCTTTGTGAAAATTAATAAATAATTTTAAATCTACGCACCCATATTTTTAAAGAACCCTTCACAAAGTGAGAGACTTCTCAAACAATCCAATTATAAACTGTATTAAATATTGTACAGCCATGACCTACGATACGCACAGTTCATAAAGAGTGAAATATTATACTTTTTTCGACTTCAGTGACATAATCACCACTTTCGTTCCATTTGGGTTTCGAGTGCAACAACAAAATGTAAAAATAAAAAAACAATAACAAAACTAAAATTATTATCATTTAAACCAAGTAATGGAATTTGCTTTGGCGATTTATATAGTTTCCAACAATCAGGAAGCACACACACTTAGAGCCGAAAATACCACTGGGTATGACCACCTTGCCAACTGAGCTGTGGCACTAAAGTTATTTATACACCGTAACCTTTGCCACGGTGGTCTAACAACAGACTATGCCCATTTGACTACTTTACATACGAAATTAAAAGAAAAGCAGATAAAAGAGAAAGAGAAATGGAAAGGAAGTTTCTTTTATACCTGACTTAGTGGAAGATACGCCATTTTTTCTCTAAGCACACATTCAAATTCACATACAAATTTAATGTCACTTCAAGAATTTCTGCGATTTCTTTTAGAAGCATGTCTTTTACGGAGCACTGGCATTAAGTTCTCCTTGCTTCGCCTTACTTCCTTAATGCACTTTGCTTTGGCTTATTTTGCTTTCATTGCGTTTTTAATTTTAATGAAACGAAACAATTTGTTTGAGATAATTTGTTACTTTCATTCCACTAACTGGCACATTAAAAACATAAAAACAAATAAAATTAAATATAAAAAAATAGAACAAAAAAATTTAATTGCATGCAAAGCAAAGTTACAAAGAGCGCATCGCATGCCCGCACAATAAGTGATAAGCAGAATGCGGGCACAAAGTAAAGAGCAAAAAATATATAAAAAAAATGCGAGTTGGCAACAGTTTGCAGGCTGTTTATCTTGGCATAGCGCCTTGGCGTATGCAACGCTCATTTAATGAATGACACGGAAGGAAGTAAATGACTGTAAAATAATTTACTGTTATGCAGCACGTACAATTATGGCTGATGCAACGAAATGGATTTGAGAGAAACTGAAAATATGAGTACAAAATTCACAAAAAAGAGGAGAAATATAAAAACGAAATAAAAATTTATCTATAAATATTAAATATTTAACAAAATTTTTTTTAAATTAGTTAATAAAAACAAAAAAAAATAACAGCGAATTTAATATCCCGCTTAATTTTCTAGACTAGTACTCTTATATTATATATAATATATTAATAGGTCTAGTAAAAACTAATACATTATTTTTGCAATAGATTTCAAATATGATATGTTACCCGCGTGCTATAGTGCGATTGAATTACCCAAGACGGCGTTAGAATGATGATATTTGGACTAAAATAAAAAAAAACGCAAGTCAAACATGAAGACCAGCAAAGAAAAAATACGCTATATTCTACAATTTTTACTCGATGCAGGTGAAAACCCCAAGTCAGGCAGCCGAAAATGTGAAGTAAAAGATGGTTCACGGCCTGAAAGGTACATGTCGAAAAGGTTGATAAACTAATGGAAATCCAAGAGTCTGACCGTCAGAGAGCACTGTTTCGATTTCCTAAGAGCTAAACAATGCTCAAAAAACACAAAGAAGCTTAAAATACGGGTGCCCCATGAGTTAACGAGAGAAAACGTAATGGACGGAATTTCCATACGCGAATCGCTATTGAATCGTTACAAAATTGAAGCATTTCTGTAGCGCATGGTGACTGGTGATGAAACGAGAATCACTTTCAGCAACGTCAAACGAAAATGGTCATAGCCGAAGGGCAGTGAGCCGGAACAAACGGTCTCTAAGCCAGTATTGACGGTTAGGAAGATTTTGTTGTGTATTTCGTGAGATTGGTAAGGAATCATCCACCAAGAGCTGATCTATAAAGCGAGACTATGAATTTGTGCTTCTGATGTGAGTGATTTGACCATCTGAAGAAGGCAATCACCCAGAAGCGCCCATCTTTGGCCAACAGGAGGCGAATTGTGTTTCATCAGTTTCTGTCAATATGAACAAAGGTTCCCATGACAAAAAGTTATCGAGCGAAAAGGTGCATATTTGACATGGATCGAATTATTCTAACCACGGTAAATGAATATTTATTAGCAATGAATATTGGCACCAGCTTCATTAGACGGAAAGTAGATTAGCTATGGACTGCAGTCAGATGCACTTAGAATGAGATTATATATCACTAGATAACAAGTTTTTAGTATTCTTTAGTAGTTAAAGAGCTTACCAGACCCGGTTGCAGCAGTTCCAAAGTTTTTTAGATTCTATTGTGTCTTCAAATTCCCTTAACGAAGATCCCATTGCGAGGGTTTGCAACTGTGCAGTGTTGGGAGTGATGAATGAAGATTCAAAGTAACATCGCAACAGAAGGAGATAAATCAATACAGGACGGGTAGCCGCTCCAAGGCAACACTTTCTGAGCTGCGACACAACTATAAACCTAAACTTCGTGAGTGAAATTGGAGGAAGAAATGGATGTAATCCCAATAGAGCTGTATGTTAAATTTCAGGCGAATCAATGAAAGAGAGGGAGATAAGAAGATCGAAAAAGATCCATCCATTTTTTGATGGTGCCGTGTAACGATTTGATGAAACTGAGCTTTGAAGTATCCAGTTTTTGGAACAGGGGAACTTGCATTATTGCATAGACATTTCTATCAAAAACGTATGGTCATCAAGAAGAAGAAAAAAAAGATGTTGGAGAAACCGAGTATGAAATTGAAGACGGAACTTTAATAGGTATTCCATAGCATCAAGATCATGTTGAACACGCGGGCAGGGTATGTCATGCCCGCGGTACTCTGGAATTTTTTTCAAACTCTCGCAGTACATAGATATTTTTTTTTGGTGGCAGCAGATTTGATTCTTTACATGACTTCATCCACAACTGTTAGACGAAAGAAACAGTTTTTCTTTTCAAGGTACCGTTAAGCTTGAACGTAATTAATGTACACATTTAAATGTTTTTGTGTTGCAAAAAGCGAAATTTCTTTTTCTCTACTTTTGCTGAGAGAAACACTCCCTTTGACACGACTTGCCCAGTCGGCAATGCTGTGCGATGCTGGAACTGCGAATGCAGCATAAAATGCAATAAGTAATAATGCCACCATGCCATGCCACGTTGCCATATTTCATAGCGGCTGCAACATTAAGATCTTCAAAATGCACGATTTTTTATTTTTATTTATTTTTTTTTTTTTTAATTAATGCTGTAATTACGATTTTCATTCATTTCCTGCAGCAAACCAATTTCCGTTATGCCGGCACAACGCGCCGTCGCCGTCACAACTGGCGACTAGCGGCAACTGACAAGCGGAATGCCACTTGCACGCGCCCATATAGACACACGCACACAGCTGGCACGGCCAATTTACAAATTCACAGCATTTGCTCCTCACACCAGTCCCAGCATCTCTTAACTTAACGCCTTCACTTGCCGGGCCCTAAATGCCCCAAATGCAAGCGAAAGCCTTTTAAATGCACTGCAACTGACAGTTGAAAGGAAGGTAAGAGCAGCCAACGACCAGTGAAGAAGCGAGAGAAGCAGAATTATAACATTCAAAATATCAAGAAATTCTACAGAAAGAAAAAAACGCCAAAAGGAAACAGAAATGAATAAAATATTAAGTAAGCTAATAGTTTGAAAATGGAAAATTGAATACAAACATAACTTGCAGTGCTTTGGCCAACCAAGGGGGAAGGGGGAAATAGCTGCTGGTGGGCTGCTATTAGACTGCAGTCCCCAGCTACCAGTGCTGTGGTGTAGCTTACCTGATTCAATGTTGTGCATGTAGATCTCACGTAGCAGCAGCAATTCATCTTCCGGTGCGGCGGACATCGCGCCAAAAGCATCATTTTCTGGCCACACTTCTCTGTAATTAAGCAAATGTTTGTAAGTAAATATTATGCAGTCTACTTGGCTATTTATTCTCGTTAGTTTAAATAAGGGGAAAATAGAAAGTAGTTTATGTTATTTAAGTAAAGATATTAGCATCTTTTTCTTCTTCTTTGACCAAAGGGAAAATTTATTTACATTTATTTTTTGGAAATTCAACAAACTGAAGAAATATAAACTTTATTATAAACAACAATTATAAACTATTAAAACATGCACAGCTTAGAGCAAGCGTTGCATACTTTGAGAGAAGTGTGTGTACCCTGCAAGCATTTGTGGCTCATATGGTTTATTGGTCTCATCTAAAAGCTACCGTTATAAAGTATAGTGTTGAACCAACTCACGACTCGATCGACCAACTAGTCTGTTAGCCGATAATTGCTCGTGTTCTAACGAACGCAATTAATAAACGAAGTTTGTGTTATTATATTTTTGGCAAGACTGGTTCAAACAGCTGACGCACGTTTCGTGTTTTGTACATCATATCTTCATTTTGGTCTATAATTTAGCCATGAATCGTCTTACAAACAAGGCTTGCAAATTGTTGAATTTTATTATCAAAATTCGTGCTCTATAAGCAGAATTGGCGTAATAAGCAGAATTGGCGATTTTGGAGTGAAGATTAGTCAGAAACATTGCAATGCAAAGCAACTGTGAATGATGATCGCTACCGTGAGAAGATATCAAACTTGTTTTCTGCCCAAAATGCAAGAGCTTGACTTGAATATCATGTGGTTTCAACAAGGTGGGTGAGTTGGGTGAACATTTTATTTCACGTTCAGGACCGGTCATTTGGCCGCCTAGATCATGCGATTTAACGCCTTTAGACTATTTTTTGTGGCGCTGTGTTAAATGGAATTTCTATACAGACAAGCCCGCGTCAATTGACGCATTGGAGGACAACATTGAAGCATTTATTTGAGAGATACCGGCCGAAATGTTGGAAAGAGTACACCAAACGTTGACTGAGCGGATGGACCATTTGAGGCGCAGAAACGGTCAACATTTGCATGAAATAATCTTCAAACATGAAGTTATATGGACCGTACTATCGATTCAAATAAGGATTTCATTCATTTTTCTGAAATCTATGTGTTTTTTTTCTTTTAACTTTCCTACATCCCTTAAATCCAACCAACAGTCTGGTCACAATCAGGCCTGTCCTGGAAAAGAGATCGATCGCGAAAGGTAGCGAAAGTTCGTGGTTACACTTGCCTTTTATATTAAACAGCTGCAAAATTGCTCCGCAGCCTGTTATTGTCTGTATGCAGAAAATGTATGAAATCGAAATTGAGTAAGTTTTGTCTCGCTAGTGAGCTCTGCTGGTACACAAAAGACATACTGAAGTTAGAGCTAATGCGGAGTTATACCTTTCGTGGTTTCAAAAGAACTGGGCGATATTTTGACATCTATTAAACTAAAATGTCAAACCAAACATGTTTTATTTTAGCTAACAACTAGGCAATTATGAAAACGCAATGCCTAACAGCCGCACAGCACGATAAAAGTACTAAAATCTACTAGAAAAATGGTGATTCAAAAGTGGTCACATTTCGTGCGTTAAGGGGAGATTATGGTGCGGCAGCTGTTTGGTTTGGTCGGGTTCAAATCCTGGTACAATCAACATCCATGTGGTCGACCCTCGACAGGGAATGTCATCTCCCCGAGTGTATTTCTGGCATGAAAAAAAGGCTCCTCATAAAAAACCGTCAGCCATTCGGCGGCTGCTTGGCATAAACTGTAGGTTCTTTCATTTGTTGGAAAAACATCAAGACGCAAAACCACGAATTGAAGGAGGAGCTCTGCCGAAAATCTTTTCAGCGGTTACAAAGCGCCAATTAGATATGTATATGATGCACATATTTGTCCAACTACTCAAGCAATTAGCAAAGAAATTTGAAGATTTTGATCGGAAACAGATTTCGTAAGCCTTTTGCATGCATTTCTCACTCAAGAGATAAGTAAAGATTAAAATTGTCGCCTTTAGGGCTACGAGAAAACTCAAATAACTGAAAACAGGGATCAAAAATAAAATTATTTCTATTGCGCTCTTTGGGCCGGGGGTGTGATTGGAACTTCGTTCTTTGCAAACGACAAAGGTGAGCCTAGCCCAGTCACTCTGTGGAATTGTAACTAAATCTAAACGTAAATACGGCTGAGAAATGAAAATCGTTTGCCGGGTAATTACAGGTTCTCAACATCCTTGTTCGATTAAACTCCCAAACAACATAATAATTAACTTAATAATGCTCAACACAAATTAGTTTAGGTGAGTCTCTAGCAATATTACGCAAGGTGCATACAGCGTAATCTGAATTTATAATAATAACTTGACTTATGCCCGTAGACTGGTAAAACATCCAAAGTGTTAAAGTCACCCCCTGTAATCTTTGGGATTTAGTGATCACAGCCGGCGAGTACTGCTATGCGGAGGTGAATCATTGCCAAAACGACATATTATACAAAATATCAACCATTTCCAATGTATTTCAGACATTAAATAAGGACCTTCTCAAGAAAATCGATCAGCCTGGCTTGCATTTTTTTGGGGCCATATCCAATTTAGCCGCCCGTTCTGAAACGTCTTCACCTTTGCGCTTAACTTTAATTTGTCAAAACTGAACATACAAAGATCGATGAGGATCAATATATTCGACAATTATTCGTTGAATTTTTATCAGTAGAAAAGTTTCGTTTAGAGTACCATTAGTCAAGTTTTCCTAAAGAGACTTTTCTAAAATATTTTTACCCTCTAACAAAGTGTGGTGTACATCACTTACAACTTTCCCTTTGTTTTGTGAAGGCGAAATTTGCGCACGATCTGCTTTAACTTTCTACCAGCGTTTAACTCAAGATTAACTATTTAATGCATTGGTCAGTATACGAGAGGCGGCTGATAAATTATATATTATAAAGTACTTAATTCACACAGTGAATGCCTTGGTTGGTTTTCAATTGGTTTTCAGCAGCAGCTTTCATTTTACTTTCGTCTTAAAATCATCATCCCCATAACTCCTTTGACTGTAAAGTGGATGATCAATTTCTTTAAATCAAGTAGTTTTTAAGGCATTCCAGCAACCCGAGCTGTGTGAACGGGTACGCTCACTCGAAGAAACAGCATTCCGCACGCCGTTGGCCTTTCCACTTATTTATCCACTGCGTCGACTCCTGTTTTGGCTCGGGCTCATATTGGCGGATCTATGTTTCATCAACTCTTACAACGCGGTTGCAAATTTCATCCAAATCATCCTGGCGCATCTCCAGAAATTCTCTAAAACTCTCCAATCATCACTGGTCGTCGAGCGGGTGTACATTCACGGTGCCCAAAGCGAACTAATTTTTTTCATATTCAAATGATCATGCCAAACCTCCCCAGCTCATACGTTGCTAGTCTGTAATTCTTCTGCTAACTGCTAAAATTTAATTCTCCGATTAGTTAGTACTAATCTTTCGACATTTTCTTCGGTCAGGACCGTCACTGGGCGCCTCGGGCGGGAGTCATCTTCACAGGAGTCTCTTCCTTAGTGAAACAGCCGAGTCCATTTCTTCCCTTTCGTATGTGAAGAGGCAGAGTCCTGAACAACCGATAATATCTTTTTAAAAGTCTCTTTCGCCATACTTCAATTTTTACAAGAAATCTAATCACAGCGCGATGCTACAAACTGCAAGAATCTCCAGTTTCCGTTTATACATTGTTGTGCCTTGTTCCAGAAACAAAATGTTAATGCGGCCGCGATGACCGAGTTTTTATAATTGCGTACTAACATACGGATGATTCGATTTCTGCTCTAGCCAAACATCTAAAATTATAGAAAACTAAATTTTCACACTGCGGCCGCCCCTAAACAGGGAATGTAAAGCCCATCGAGTCTATTGCTGATATGAAAATCAAAGTCACTCATAATAATCCACAAGCTTTGCAAAACCGTAGAGCCTTTCGTGACGTCAACGACGATCCAAGTTTGATCGAAAGGCTCATAACTTTTGATGAAACGTGGATGCTTGGTCATGACTTCGAAACCTAGGCCCAATCATCCCAATTCAAACGCCCAGATGAGTTAAAAATCGAAGAGCACACAAAAATGAGAAAACTCCTCTCAGTTATCAACATATAAACATTCTGGCCATTTTATGATGAAAACGACAATAAAAAGCTGGTTAAAAAAACCTATTCAGTTTTGGTTTAAAATCGAACTAGTAACACTTTTGGCCCAGTATGACACCAGTGAATTTTTTAAGGTGATCTTTAAATGTCCAACTCATTCGCTCAGTAGTTGATTTTTTTTTTGAAGCACTAGTTTCAAAGTAGTTTTGAAGTAGTTCATTTCACTTCAGGGCACATATGAGTAAGCATACATACTGTAAATGTGAGCCTGTGTGTGTGTTTGTTTTGTATGCAAATTTGTAAAAACAGAATGTCATTAATTTGAAATTTTGTACATAAATCCTTATTAAAATTCCATTTAATATGCTCTCAGTGAAGTTTCCAATACAATTAAGCAACGCGCCTGCGAAAGCAATGCGAGCGAAAACAGCAGCAGCAGCACCAAGAAGACGTCACAGTCATAAGGCTTATTTATATTTGAGTATGTATGTATATACGATTGCCCTGTGTGTTTTATATGTGTGTGCGTGTGTGCATGTATTTGGCGTATGTAATAATATTGCAACGCTCGCAACGCTTGTATAAGCAGCAGTGCGACAGTAGCAACAGCAGGCGTTGATGTGGCTAGCACGAAGGCGAGGTGGCGCACAAAAAAACCTTGGCACGGCATTAATGCCACATTGCAATGCGTAAAGTACAAGTAGTATGTGTAGCGAAGCAGCAATCTGTGCAACATGCAGCAAGCGCCAAGCTCAACAATAACAATATTATGTGCATATACAAGTTAAAGGAAAAAATTAAATTGATGCATTCCATTTATTTGCTGTGAGTGCCACACGTGGCGTGACATGACCCCCACAGCTTGCTGAAAA